CATCGATTCATTTTATTACAACTATACATTTTATAACACACATTTCATAACATATATATTTAATGACGTAACACAGATTACTTTTATACACACATTATTATGGGTTATAATAAAGCTTGTTATTTTTAAATTCCTAAGTAGCGGGCTGTCTCTCTACTCACCTAATTACGGGTGTACATATACCTATAGACACACTGAACTGATGAACCACCCATAGCTTACCACCTGCAACGCTAAATGACTTTCTCCATAACTTTCTAGAACAACGGATCAATCTTCACACCAAATGATGAACCAAGGACATTCACTCCGATTACAATGAAAGATTTGTTTGATATGCATAACATCCGAGGATCGTTTCACTATAAGATTAGGGTGGAGAAAACAAGAGCCACCGCGGAAATGATTAATCGAATGATTACGAACAAATCGGACTACGACCTCACTGAAGCGGCGACGCAAGTATTAAGCAGAGGGTTGGGTTTTATTCAAAACGACCAATACGTTCTGGGAAAGACGTTTAAAGATGCAATATCAAAATTAAAAAGAAATATGCTACTGAGAGTTCATTTTAAGGACAATGGAGGACTACCCCGACAAACACCAATGAAGAGGAAACTTGACACGGTCTGGAACCCTCCTGCATCCAACAATGCAAATTTAAATCTTTTCTTTGAAAGGATAAAGAGTGAAACAGACACAGTACTAAATGAGAGAATGAACATAGCACACCCCAACCTAACGAAAAACATGAAAGAAGCAATCTTAACACTGAAAAATAATAACAATATCATTATCAAGCAAGCTGACAAAGGTGGTAGCATCTGCATCTTAAACAGGAGAGACTATGAAGAGAAAATTAACACCATGCTAGCAGATGACACCACATATAAACTCCTACTATACGACCCCACCATAGAAATGGCACGGAACGTTGTATCAACAATTGATTACATCTTATTCAAAGGAGTGATTGACGAAAAGACTGCAAATTACATACGTCCAAACAATCCTTGTCGCCCTCCCCTGTTCTATGGACTCCCCAAAATACACAAAACTGGAATTCCTCTCCGACCTATTGTATCTGCTTGCGATGGTCCCACAGATCACCTCTCATATTTTGTGACTAAGTTCATACAACCACTAGCCGAAACACTTCCATCATACTTTAGAGACTCCACACAATTTCTTCACATGCTCCAAAATCAACCACTACCGCCTCAAAAATACATCTTCGTCACCACTGACGTTACCTCCCTGTACACTAACATACCCCATAAGGATGGTATAGAAGCCATCAAACTACTTTTTAATAAAATACCACATGACCTAAGACCACCCAATTCACCACCTGTAGCGTCTATACAGATTATGATTAACACCATTCTGACAAACACGACGTTCCAGTTTGACGACCGCAACTATTTACAGATGACAGGGACATCGATGGGTACACGCATGGCACCACCATACGCTAACATATTTATGGGCACATTAGACGAAGCCGTCACTGGACAATTTAAAGACAGCATCACGTTCTACAAAAGATTCATCGATGACATTTTTTTCATATTCACAGGCACTATAGATGATCTCGAACATGTTATGACATTTATGAACAACTTGCACCCCACCATTAAATTTACTTTTAACCACTCAGATATTTCCATTGACTTTATGGACCTAACTCTCTACAAGAACCATCTAGATAAAATACAGAGCACAATTCACCGTAAACCCACCGACACAATGAGCCTTCTACATTTCAGTTCATACCACCCACATCATATCACATCAGGTCTCATTCACAGCCAAGCGATCAGATACAATAGGCTTATATCTGACTCCCACCACCTATATAAGGAGCTCCGCACATTAGCGCGCCAATTGGTTCTTAAGGGGTACCATCTTGATATTATTAACAGGAACATCACTAAAACCCTATTACACACACAGAAAGATCTTATCCACAAAAACAAAGAAGCCGATGACACCCACATCTTCCCCATAGTCACACCTTACAATGAACAAGGTATACGTATCAACAACGCGATATTACACAACTGGCACCTTATTTACAATGACCCAGAACTCTGTACACTATTTCCACCGGTACCCACCCTCACACACACTAACACACTTTCCCTCAGAGATAGACTTATCCGCACTAAATACACTGCCAATCACAATAACTGAACATCCACTGTTTGCTCTAGTTCGTTTTCAGCTGGTAGGACGTACTTCTACCCCTACCCGCATGTTACAATTCTGTATTTTAATTATTTTACACATAAAATATACCGCC